GAGCAGGTTGCACATACCTGCTACACATGTCCCAGCCTCATAAAATGCATTCATTTTATGATGCCTTCACAAACTACTAAAACCTTGTTTCGACCATTACCTCTAGAGCTTTGTCATACACTTTCCTTTAGTGACAACCCTTCATTCACCAAATGTCTATAAAACTTGTACCTGGTGGTCACCTGTATGAGGACTGGGAGACATATGAATCCTTCCAGTACCCAAATAACTTCTTGAAAGTTAATTCCCGTATTTCCATGTGCAACAGCAGAATTACGAAATTAGATGGAATTACTCTCGCATAGCATTTCTTGGACTGAGGGCACGGGGAGGAAATCTAGTATCCCATTTTGAACATACTCATAGCAGCACAGAGCAGAAGAAAACTTGAGCTGTAGTGGAAAATAGTGAAGGACCATTTCTATTGGATTTGTACCTAAATAATTGCCCCAAGAAGCAGCAACTACTGTTCTAATGGAAGAAACTGTCCTCTGGTTGCTAACTCCACAGGTAGAAATGCAAAGCAACAGTCTCKTAACAACCAGAAATTACTACACCAGTCTCTCAAAAATTATTCTTCATACAAAAGAGTTAAAAAGAAAAAGAAAAAAAAAGGTACATGAAAAACCATGCCTCCTACCGTGTATYTGGATGTAGTAAGTAAGGTTAGGAATGTTTTTACATTAACAGCTATTAAAATGATTGACTGTTGATTGTGGCCATGCTTCTTCTGCAGGCTTAACTGAGCACCCACGTCCCAAGGGCTCAKACTAGAGGCTGGGACTTAGCTGTGTGTGCGAGCCTGATAAGCAAAACACTGAGATTCTTGGGAAGACTCCATAAGGACTTGGATGGGGTGTTTGTGAGCTACTGTCTCTACTTCTCAACAGACATTTAGTAGCAAAATCCTATGGTAGAATCTATAAACCAGTGAAATTGTTCTACAGGAATGAACTGTGCCATAGTATCCAGTAGCATGGCGCAAAAATTYGCTCTAAGTGAAACTGCATATGAAAAATGGTTAGGAAAAAATGGTTTGCTGTCGATCAGTAATGTGTCTGCCTGATGTTTCTTAAAATTCTCCTGTAACTAGAATGAGAAATGGCTGCAGTGTAAGGGAACATGAAGAACACATTAAGTGATGATGTTTCATTTACACCTTGTAGTGGGTTGGTGGACGCAGTAACATACTAAATACCAGGCTGAAAATTTTCAGCCAMAGACGTATGTTTGGCCATCTCGTGGAAGAGGGTAAATGGGGACACAGAGATCTTTGCAAGGGAAGCAGTTCCCCAATGTTACCTTCTCCATGACCTCCCCTGCCGAATCCTGTTCAGAGGATGAGCTCCAGCTTGGCAGCTTGGTTTGTAAGTCCTGCCACACCTGGCTGGACACCATGTCCCTCCTCCCCTGCCTGCTTTTCTCTGTGCAAAAAGGAAGTGCCAGGTGGCTAYGGCTGTCCTCTTTTCTCTCTCCTTTTGGATGGAGGTGCCATCTGACCAGAGGGGTAACATGGGGAAGGCTGATCCCTTCCATGACCTCTTTGGGGCTATGAGATTGCATAGCCCAAAACTGAAGACAGTCTTCTGCAGTGGGTGGGTCTCCTGCTTTTGGTGAAAATGCTTGACACTTTGCCATCCAGCTTGAGAGCAGATCACATGACTGGCACTATCTAAAAGCACCTTTTATTTTCTACTTCATTACCTACAAGTATATATATATAAATTTAGGGATCATCCTTTATATTCCTTTCTGAACCTTCTAAGAAGACAAAAACAAGATCAAAATTATCCCTTCTTTATTTTATTAAAAAAACTCCATCCTGACAACCACAACCCCAAAAACGATTGGATTACGTATTGTTATAGAAATTGATTTATCGGCACGTATTGTCTTAGATACGACAAAGTTTCTGTATATTTTTAAACATAATGTTTGTAAGACATGATTCAGTAATGCAGTGGAAATAGCATAGCTAAAAAGGAAATAACTTGCCTCCTTGGCAGAATTATCGTTACCCTGAATGTAGGAAAAGCCTTCATAGCTGGCTGCCTTTGCTGCAATCACTGGTGTACTTYTTTTTTTCCCCAGGATATCCYGTTGTTTGCCATTCTCCTTCCGCAGTCATTTTCATAGGATGCAGGAACCTTTCCGATTAAATGTTTTGTGCAGCACTTAACAAATTTACCATGCCACCCCGGATAACGCTATGCTGTAAATGCCTAATGAGAACACATCTCTGGTAGGGTCAGTCTGGCGCAGCTACCCCATGTTTTGTAGCCCTTGCTCTGCACTGACACTTGGTTGGGTCTGACTGCAGCAYGTCCTTTGCTCTGCCTTTTGTGGCAAGGGAGAAGGACCTACTATTTTRGGAGTTATTTCTGCCAAGAGCTGAGACCTGTAATCCTGCTAACATCAGAAGGAGAGGAGAACATGCAGCTCTTGGCAGCAGCAAGCCCCACTAATTTCTGCACTGCCCAGAAATTAACTTCAAGAGTCTCAAAATTGTCATTAAAATTCAATTGTTTCCCTTCACATTTAGACATCCGCCCATGGAAAAACACCCATTGTGTAACTTCTCCCCCTCTCCCTGGAGGATGGGAAGGTTGCAGCCCTAATGGGGACTAAGAAGACAGAGGCAAGAAAATGAGCTTACCTTGCTGCCCTAAAGTTAAGCAGTAATCCACATGGCACCAACACTGAAATACCTAATAATTTGGTTCTAGAACTTMATTGCTAAAGATTTCATATAGTTCTGCTTCTGTCTTGGTTATACAAATATCTATAACATTTTATTTTCTTGGTTTTTCTTTTCCTRTATAATATKACCATAATACCAGGGAAAAAAATGCAACTTCTCAACTTCTTAATTAGAAATTGAAGATTGGAGTTTCAGCTAGCATAAACTGGTTTGATTCCACTGGGCTTTCATTGGCTGTATATCTCGTTTCTAGTCTGTGGCTCTGACCAGCTTATTGGCTCTGACCAAATAAGACTTCACCATACCATAACATTCATATACAGTAATGGAATTCAGGGTTCTGACTGAGGTTAGGCAGTTAAAYGTAAGTRAATGCCTTGGTCTGTGGAATAAGAWCTTTTCACTTTTCTCATAATTTTCCATGATGAACAACTGGATTAAAACTGGCATTCTCTCCTTCCCACTGGCCTCTTGGCCATCTGCTCAGGCCTGCTGGTGTAAGAGGAAGAATGAGCTCAGTTTCACATTTCACTTAGGGGTCTAGAAATGAGCATCTTTAATGCACACCAAATGAGCTAAATTACAGGGGAGTGTTTCCAGCAGGCATTCCAGGGCTGTGAATACAGCCTGGGAACCCATGGGCCAGCATGCTTTGTCACCCTGGCTGATGCTTAGAGAGGCCTCCCTACTGCTTCTCTACACCATTTTCTACCTATATCTATCCCATCTTTGCAAGCACRGCTTTTTGTGTGTGCCTGGGGATGTACTGACGCATTCAGAAAAGTCAAAAGATTCACTGAACTTTTAAAGCTGGATAATGTCAATGTGCTTCAAGCAKGGTCTAGATGGAGTTGAGGTCCTTCTATCCAAAATTATGTAAGACTCAATATTGACCTATCCATCTTTTAACCTAACATGCCACTTGAAGTATGCAAGCTCAGGGAAGATAATTCATACAATAAGTGCTGGGGTTCCATAATGGAGTGTTTTGGGTGCCTTCTTCTCAACTGCAATGATATCAGTTCCACTGGCATTATATAAAGCAGARCGCTTGGAGAATTCAAGTTCAGGGATGGAGGGTTTTGTGTTTGCTCTTCTGTGAACTGTCCCATGTGTAGGCTGCTTCCACTCTCCTCTACCATCAGCATGTAAGGTTATTCAGGCAAGAGAAAGGAAGCAGCAGAGAACATGACTGTAGCCTCCTGTGAAAACATTGAATTATGTGGGGTAATCCTGGATTTCTGGCTCCCAGGAGTCCTTTAGCACTTACACATTAAGAATAAAATACATTAATGGGCTTTTGAGAATTTCTGAGATATGACCTTAATCACAGAGAGAGCCTATCTGCCATTAAACATAATACCTTCTTGATAGCCACCTTCTGCAACCTTTGGCACTGAGGCCTGTTTGGAAATGTAGGAAGCATTCTGGGTATGTTGTGGTGAGTACCTGCACCCCCAGAAATCAGGTCCATCATGCACTGTTTTGCACCTGTACCTTCCCCAGTGTGTTGTCTGTCCCTTGCACACAYAGCACGGCTGCTGAAGTGCAGACTGCTAATCGCTCGTTGGTTTAATATTTGTGCAGTGTGTCAAAGGGGAAAGGGCTTAAATTCTGTTTGCATTTTAAATAACTGTCTTGGCAGTTGCACAATTCACAGTGTTTATGTTTTTATGGAATGCACCATTTGTGACTTGTTTTAAGAAGGGCAGATATTAAGCATGGCCAAGCAGGTTCTACAGTGGGTCCGGCCTGGGTCAGCCTTGCTCTGGCTGTCAAGGGCATCTGGAGAGGTGCCGCTGAGCACCACACAGTTTGMCTGCTTGTACTGGCATATTATAACTTGGTGATGGCAGTCTGGCAATTTTCATCTGCATCAAGCAAGCCAAATTCTGATCCTTTTGTGAGAGCTAGTTCAAATTCCTCTGACACTAAACTCAACTCTTGTAAGAAGCCAGATGGTAGAAACGAAGAGCTGAGCTTATTCTGAGCAGTCTTGGATCTCACATTAGTTGTGGGCCCCACCCTGAGTCCTGATCTCTGATAAATTAACTTTTTAGTGTTTCATTACTGCTAGGGTACAAGCCAAATGTTTACGCAGATATTTATGTTCCAACAGACAAATGAAAGCTCATTCTTTTCTTCTGATTTATAAGTATGTTATGTTTTACAGACATGAGTAACTCATGTGGGATCTTTCCCACAGAGTAAAACCAATGTAAATTTACATGACTCAGGGATTTGTTTCAATGCTCATGTATAAGCTCTCATTAGAAATGATTATGCTTGAAGATCAAAAGAAAGTACACTCACTTGTATTAGTGTTTAATGCATAATTCACATTGTTAGAACAAAAAACAAAACAGTTGGTGGTTATTACAACAAATATCAAACATTGGCACTACTAACCAACTCCCACAGAGGATCCTTCATTGCCTGGCACTGGCTGTGCACTGAGATTTCCTCTTCCGTGTGTTGTGCCATCGTCTTGGAGATTTAAAGACACCTTCCTCACTGCACGAGTAATGCCCCTGCAATGACAGGAGTGGGGGAGAGCCAGGACACCCCACCACTGCAGGTGGATCCAATGCTCAGAGATCTCTCAGCAGAAGCAGTGTAAAATAATCCAATCCATTTTTTTTATTCAAGTGGGATTTCAGATCAGTCATGCTCCTATGAAAGTCTCATTGCCTACAATCTGAGTTTAATATCAAGCTTAATATTTGAGTCTTAATATCAAGACCCATGGTCAAAGWCATCCAGCACCACAAAATTTAAGGCCTTGATTTTTTGTTTTATATTTGTCCACATTTACTTCCTTTAGTCAGTGCTTACTTTATTAACAGAATTATTCTTTCTTAGATAAGCAGGTTTGGCATGAGGGAGTTGCAGGTGAAATCCATTCCCTGTATCTTCAACCAGGACAAGCATAGGAAGGCAAAGTCATGCTTAGAATCACAAAATGAGACTCCTATGGGCATCACTGCCTGTTACACAGAGCAGCTGGGGCTCCTTCATCTGTGTAAGGGAAGTCCATAGGTTACCCTCTGTAATATGTGACACACACTACCATCTTTGATGCAAAGCTGAATTTTTTTCATCTTCATAGCTTTTAATGGCTTTTCCCATGTCAATATTTAAGGGGTGAGTAATTTATATAATCTGGTTTTTATACTTATGTGTCTTTCAAAAAATTGGTTTACTCCCTGAACTTACATAATTTCTACCTCATCTAGTTTTTGTTTGATTTTCCCCCCTAAAAAGCAAAGCAACAATCTTAAGTATAAAATTTAGGAGGCTTCATTCCCATCAGAGAATCTCTCCTCCGTGGATGTCTGTGGCATGGAATGACACTGAATGATATTTGACAAATCTTGTGCTTGGCACAAGGTCACAACACATCTTGTATGTTCTAATTATCAATTCAATCACTTTCCTGTATGCTAGTGATGCAATACACCCGATTCTGAGAAGGCAGAGTAGCTGCCTGGGTTTCAGGTAGGTTCTCCCTGATTCAGGCTTCTGTCAGTTAGCTCTCTACTATTCTTAAGGTGCCTCCTGAAGGCCCTGTTGTTCRGCAAACCCTTCTGTTGGAGCCTGTGAGGTTCTTCATTCAGGAACTAATACTGCTGAGTCAGACTGGGTGCTATTGCTATGAACGGAATGCAGTCAAATGGATCATGGGTGTCTCAGAGGGCCGGGCAGAGCTTTGGGGTTTGTTTTCCTTTTGCTTGTAACAACCCACTCAAAATATTTATGATTGAGAAGCTTTTTTTTTTTCCAGTAAAGAACCTTTTGTCCTCTTTAGTGCAGTTGAGAAGGTATGTAGAGTATACACCGGTTAAATTGTTTATTTTTAGAGGAGTGCACAAGTTATTGCTATCTTGAAACTGATTGTAAGTACATTKCTGTTGTTGGGTTTTTGTTGAGGAATAGAAACCTGTAATGAATTAAATATGCTTCATGAGGAAAGAAGTAGGTCAAATGTTGGGCTAAATTAACCTCATGTTATACAAAGTGACTAAATTCTGTTGTTTTCACCAGTGGGACTGGACTTGTCTACGCACCAAATTATTTCATGACACCTACTAGGTACACCGCAGTAATTACATTCGACTAAAACCCATGTGCAGACAACTCTTATGCCTAAGAATTCAGTTTCTTGAATTACCTTAATCCACTCTGAAAGTGGATTAAGTGAAGCCAGGAAACAACTCAGTCATTCCAGAATGAATAAACTACCTGAACACAAYTCTGCTTTAAATCCGACCTTATTCCACCATCATTTTCCCAGGCTGAGAGGTTCTTAGGATGTATCTACATAGCAAATGAATGTGTGATTACAGACACACCAACCCTTCCTTTACTCTCACTGGCATGAGCAACAGCAGTAATGAAAGATGGTAGCACAGATTCCAGTGCAGCCTATTAACTGGAGCATATACATGCAGTTGGTTGTGAGCAGCCTCTGCTGAAATCCACCTCAGCACTCCCTCACTTCAGACACAACTCACGTCCCTTAGACCGAGACAGGGGCTGGGAAAGCCTCTCTGCATCTGCGGTGTGTACGCACACCAAAAAATGCATGTGTGACAGGACTGCACAGCAGAGCTAAATGGAAACCAGGTGAATTTAACTTCAGAGGTTAATCACACTGGAGAAGCAGCACGGCTCGCACATTTTTAATATACACACCTTTGACAACCAAATAAAGCGTCAGCTGTGTGACTGCAGCAGCCAAATTAAATGTGCTGTAGACAAGCTCAACTCGGATGATTTCACTAGGGCTGGATTTGTTTCCAGAGTTGAGATTTTGCTTATTTGGCTGATACTTGTTTTGTTACCTATCTGCTCATTTATTTTAATGAAATTAATRCATTTTAATGTTCCTTTAAGTGCATTCCAAAAATAGCAATTTAATTTAACTAATTYGCTTTTAAAAGCGCAACAATCACAATGAAAAATCTCTCTGTTAGCTGAGGTATGGTGTAATTGTAAGTAGCATCTTGGGTAGCTATGCCATACCCTTCATCCTTTCAGACAAATTCCCCACATCAATCAAAAGAGCCTCACTTAAAAACGAATGGCGAAATACCGACAACAATCAAGCTGTACATGCTGCTTTTCAAGTCTACCAAAAATATGTATCAGTAATGTACTCTGTACTCTACTAAGACACTAGAGTTAAGACAGGTAAGAATTTAATCTAAAAGCAGTTCAAAATGATTCCAAAAAAGAAACATGTAGCAAACTTGTCTTTCTAGCCAAGCCAGAAAGCATCCTGACTGAGTAGCTTGGGTTTAAAAARAAAAAAAAAAAAACAAACAACAAAATCCTCAGTGTTTTAAATTTCAAGCTCCTGAAAGTGATGCTTGGACTGTACAATATTCCAAAAACGCTTTCTGTTTTTCCCCAGCTCTTCTTCCAGCTGCAATAGCTGATCTCACCATTTAAAACAAGCTGCTTCTGAGGGCACTGAGCCCAGCAACAGAAAAGGCGTACACTAACTTCTCCCTGACTTTATCGCCTTATAAAAACTGGAATTGCAAAACCTGATTAGTAACAATATTAAGCAAAGGCAATTTTCCCTTTTATTGTATTTAAATGAGGAAAGTGAGAGTATTAATGTTAATATTAAGGCTGAACAGAGGCAGTTGCAAAAAATAATTTAGTTTCAGCCCTGCTATATGCATCCCTTCATGAGCTCCGCTGTGCTAGTTACCTGTGCACTGGCGATGTTGTAACTTGTTATTATAATAGGTGATGTGCAAAGGAACACAGAAGAGGGAAACTTGTCTCAGGGCTCTGCTGGGACGCTCTGCGGTCACRGAGTAGGTGGTGTGGTGCTGCAGCAGTTTGGGATGCGCTGTGTGGTTAACAACTGGTTTTTGGATGAAGAGGCACTTAAACTCAGGCTGCCGTGGGTAGTTAAAGCGAGGCCTAGTTCTGGGAATACTTCCACACGCGAGTTAAGTCTCACATGTGAAAATGTCCTCGGAATTTAGTGGGAGCGTTCATGGAGATTTGCAGGATCTGGCTTTGGGAAGCGCACGAAGGCAGGGCAGCGGATGCGTGTGGCTGCTGCCATGGCCGGGGCACAGCGCTGCCAGCCTGCTCGCTGCTCACAGCGGCCCCGGGGCTGCCGCAGGCCCCGGCTCGCTGCGGTTCAACGCGAACCCTCCTGCTTTCGGGAGCTGCCCCAGCAGMAGAGGTGGGCAGCGATGCCTCAGGCTGCCTGCCCGAGCCCTGCCGGGGTGTGCGCCAGCCCTTGGCTGTCCTCGGCAGCCATTGCGCACTCGGGTGCCCCAGCGCGGCCCCCCCAGGGCACCCCGGCTCCCGGCGGGGCTGTGGGGCGCTGTGCGCCGGGGGCTCCCCCGCCTTTCCCTGCAGAGCCTTGCAGGGGACTGGGGGGGCGCGGCGCAGGGCCTGCACGGCAGCAGCGGTGCGGCATCCTCGCCCGGCCTCCTCTGGCATTCCGGCTGCTTTTCTTTCTCGTCTTTTTTTTTTTTTTTTTTTTTTTTTTTTTTTTTTTTTTTTTTTTAATTTACTGGGGGTTCTGTGTGTGTGCGGTGCCCGTTCCCCCGCCCCCGCCGGCCTCTCGGCACATGGCCTGCTGGCGGCCGGCGGCGCGTGTGTCCCCGCGTCCCCTGGRCGAGGTGTCCCGTCCGCCGCCCGCATCCCTGCCGTGGGGAGCTGGCACCCCCTCCCTCCCCATCCCCTTTCCGGCAGTCGCCTTTTTTGTTTTCTTTTTAGTTGGTCTTTTTTTTTTTTTTTTTGTGGTTTTGTTTGTGTTTTTTCCAGGTGGGACGTGGCGGTGACCGGCGAGGCTCGCCCGGCACTGAATGTCACCCTGAAGGTAAAATGAAAGACACGGAGATGAACGCATGCCTGCGCCCCGCGCCGCCGCTCCCCCGCGCCCGCCGGCGAGCGGCCGCCACCATCGCGGGGCGGCAGCCCCCGCCGCGCCCCGGATTTCCTGTCCCGGCTTTTCCTTACTGCGCCTTAAAAAAAACCAAAAAATAATAATAAWAAAAAAAATCCGCATGCGAAAGAAACGTGCACGTACCCGGTAACGAGCCCAGGAAAAACCCGGCCGCTTCCCCCTGCTCCTGCCAAGTTATCATTGGGAACACAGGCAGGCGCCGTGACGTCCCGGGTCAGGCCGAGTGCGGACCGGCGCTACC